ATGAGGGCGGACTTTGCAGGCTTTTCAGGCTAAAGCCTGTGGAGTTCAAGGCTTTGGTTCCTGAGCCTAACCGGGGGAACCTATTCAGACGTCAGCTTCTCCGCTTTCTTACCGGCCACTATGACAAGAACCCAGGGGTCCAGACTCGAAAGAAACAATCCGAGGGCTCCCTTAACCCTGGTGGACTATAACACCCTATAGAAGCCCCTTTATAGTAGGGGATAGGATTACGGGGACCCTTGGGGATGTAGACCCTCTCAATAAGGTCCCTGCTGAAGAGAGCCAGAAGAGGGATAATTCAAGAAGGGTTCCCTTGTAAGAACCCTAAACCCTAAGCACTAAGCCCCAAACCCCAAGCCCTAAACCCTACACCCTAAACCTAAACGGTCCTGCCTAGGATTATACGCCCTAGAGAAAACCTCCAAAGCCTTTGAATGGAAAGCCCCCACCGGGTCCGCCACGCCGAGGCCCTCCAGCAGCTTCTGGCGCGCCCCCTCTGCTGCTTTGGGTGCTTTGGGTGCTCTGGGTGCCTTGGGTGCTTTGAGTGCTTTGGGTGCTTTGGGTGCTTTGGGGTTTAGGATTTAGGGTTTAGGGTTTAGGGTTTAGGGTTTAGTTTATGGGGGGGGGGGTCTTTAGGGGCTTGGTCCTTTGGGGTTCAAGGCTTTTGGATCTCAGAGGTTTGGGGCTTGCAGCTTCCGGTGTGGGGGTTAGGGGTCTTCGCATTTGCGTTGAGGGCTTTGGGGCTTTAGGTTGACGGTATAGGGTTGAGGGTTTGGGCCTCAGGGCCTGGCAGCAACAAGTAAAGTTGTTTGGGTGATTTGGGAGAGCTTGGGGTGTTGAGGAAAGGTCTGTGGGTGTAGTGTGACTTCGGGTTTGGGGCTCAGGGAAACTGTAGGTAGGCGTTGGGGTTTAGGGTTTGAGGGGTTGAAATGGTTTAGGGCAGGAGCTCTGGGCAGAGGTTTAAAGTATTCAGAACTGGAAAGTGCAGCCAGCAGAACGGGCCTTTGCAACAACAAGGTAACTTAACTCAAGTTCCTCAACACTAAACCCTAAACGCTAAACCCTAAACCCTAACCCCTAAACCCTAAACATTAAACCCTATACCCTAAACCCTAAACTATAACCCCTAAACCCTAAACCCTAAACCCTAAACCCCAAACCCTAAAAACCCGAAGCCCTGAAGGGATGCCTCGGCTTCCTCGCGCCCGAAGCGCACGTCCGGCAGGCGCCGCACGTCGAAGCAGCGGAGGAGCTTCCAAACCTGCCATCTCACGGAAGACTTTTTAAGGGGTTTAGGGCTTAGGGTTTGGGGTTTGGAGTTTGGGGTTTAGGGTTTAGGGTTTAGGGTTTAGGGTTTAGGGTTGGGATGTTCCCCCTTATACTCGCAGTCCTTCATAGAGATTCTAGTACCCCTACTCTAATCCCGATTAAGGACTGTGGGTACAAGTGGGAACATCCCAAGAAGTTGGTCTGAAAGGGTTTTGGGGGCTTTAGGGTTTTTCAAGGCCTCTTCTTTTTCCGGGGGGGGGGGGGGGGGGGGGGGGGGGGGGGGGTGAGGGTGTAGGGGTTCCTTGGGGGTTTAGGGTTTTTGGGGGTGTGGGGTTTATGGCGGGGCTGGGGGTTTAATTTAAGACGGCTGGCTGAGGGCTTTGGCGCCCCTTCAGTGCTTCCAGAGGAGCTTCTCTTGAATGGGGGGGCCCTAAGACCCTAAACCCTCAACTCCCTTAAAAACACCTCCATTCCCTAACCTCCCTAACCTCCCTAAGCTCCCTAACCTCCCTAAACTCCCCAAACTCCCTAAACTCCCTAAGCTCCCTAAGCTCCCTAAGCTCCCTAAGCTCCCTAAACTCCCTTAACTCCCTATACTCCCTATACTCCCTATACTTCCTATACTCCCTAAACCCCAGACCTTCGGCTTTGAACTTCGAGGGGTCTGGGGCCCCTTGGTTGAAACAGCCGCGGATGGTGCAGGAAGTTCTTGGGGGCTTTCTGGGGCTTTGGTACAATCCTAAGCCCCGAAATAAACCCTAAACCTAGTCCCTAGATTGGAGGGTTTCAGTAGCCCTAAACCCTAAACTCCCGAAACCCTAAACTCTCCTGTCCCTAAACTCCCTAAACCCCTGAGCTCCCTAAACCCTGAACCCTAAACCCCAAAACCTGAGTACGGCGGCTACTGAGCCGCTGAGCTCCGCCTCTACATAACCCCTGAGATTTATGATGTAGGGTACCTAACATCCTAATTCCCTGCTTAGGACCCTTAAGCCTACACCCCTAGACCCTAAACCCCTGAACCCTAAGCCCCGCAAAACGGACCTTAGGGGTGTTCTTAGGGTTTTCTTAGGGTTGTCAGGGCTTTCCTAGGGTTTTCAAAGCGTTTTCATAGGAGTTTAGGGTTTAGGGGTAAAAAAACCCTAAGAAAACTTTACAAAACCCTCAGAAAACCTTACGAAAACTAGAAGAAAACCCTAACAAAACCTCTTAAGAACAACCCGAAGAGCCAGCAAGGGTACATGGCCGGGAGCACCGGCACGCTCCCCAGGTCCTCGAAGTCCAGCTTGGACCACACCTCGGCGACCTTGGGCCCGGCTTGGGGTTCTTGGGGGGCTTAGGGGGTTTAGGGGGGTTTAGGGTTTAGGGTTTAGGGTCTAGGGATACTTGAGGTTTAGGGTTTAGGGTTTCGGGCTTCGGGCTTGGGGTTGGGGGGTTTAAGGGGGTTTAGGGGGACTCATGCAATTCTAGGGGGTTTAAGGGGGGTTTCGGGGGTTTTTGGGGGGGTTTAGGGTTTAGGGAGAATCGACGTTTAGGGTTTAAGGCTTAAGTCGCGGATGGGGGTCCGAAAGACAAGGAATAGAGCAAATACCTCGAGCTCCCCTGAGCGCCGCGCCAGCTGCTGACGCTTTGGGCTCAGGCTCCCACGCCTGCGGCTGGGGCACAGTGTGTGGCGAACAGGAGCCGAAACAAGGGGCGTAAGAAGTTACCCACGCCATCCTTTTTTCACTCCTTGTATACATCTCATAAATACATCTCATATAAGCTGCCTAAACACACATGCGAAGCAAGAGGCCCCCTACAAAAAAGGTGTTGATACACGTGGCCCGTGGACCAAAGGCTTTGGGCAAAGGGGAAGGGGATGTGTGGACGACAGCTGCTTGAACAGGCGAAAAAATTGGCTGCACTTAGGAGGGTAATTTCAAATTTAATTTTTTTAGCTGCCTTAGTGAGAAACCCAATAAGCCCAAAAAGGCTAAGGATCCAAAGTTACAGTAAAGCACCACAGAGAAATAGAAAGCCTAAACCCTAAAACCCTAAAATAGAGCGCCCCAAAAACATCTCAAGGTAAGAGCAAGAGGCAGCACCCCCCAGAGGTTTTGGGCTCTGATTGCTTGAGGAAGGTTCCGTACTGCACCTTCCCCTAAACCCTAAACCCTAAACCGTAAACCCTAAACCCTAAACCCTAAACCCTAAACCCTAAACCCTAAACCCTAAACCCTAAACCCTAAACCCTAAACCCTAACCCTAAACCCTCAATCCTCTAGACTCGGCGTTCACTGCAAGGCCCCGGGCATCAAAGTGGCCAGGTCGTTCACACGGACCTAAGGCAGAGCAGGGCCCATTCAAAAAACAGCTGACCTGTTCTTGCAAGGAGGCTTTTGGGTTCAGGGTTTCGGGGTTTAGGGCTTAGGGCTTAGGAAGTCCTATCATAAGCTTTTGGGCTTAGGGGTTTAGAGGCCGGAGGCTGCATATCAACAAAGGCCTGAACCCGAAGCCGCAAATCCAAATGGGCGCCCGAGCGGTTTCGGCGCCCTGCGCAAGGTGGCCGAAGAGAATCTGGCACTCGTAGAAGCAGCGGCAAAGCCCCTGACAAGCTTAAGGCGGGGTGTTGGCTGTTGTGCTAGGTTCAGGTTCAGGTTCAGGGTTTAAGGTTCAGGTTCAGGGCTTAAGGTTTAAGGTTCAGGTTCAGGGCTTAAGGTTTAAGGTTAAGGTTCAGGTTCAGGGCTTAAGGTTTAAGGTTCAGGTTCAGGGTTTGAGGTTTCAGGTTTAAGGTTCAGGGTTCATTGTTCAGGGCTCAAGGTTTCGAGCTCCCCCTGCGGGAATTTGAGCCACCACCAACTGAATACCCAGCAAAAAATTTTAAAAAAAATGGGCAGAAAAAACCGAAACGTGTTCCTAGCAAAGAAGGGCTGGGCCGCTTTCTGCGCAGCCGGCTCCCTCCTTTCTCTGCCCTTCGACAAAGCTCGTTGTTAATCCTAAACCCTAAACCCTAAACCCTAAAACCTAAAACCTAAACCCTATACCCTAAACCCTAAACGAACCCTTGCCCCTAAATAAACCTCAAGCCCCTAAGCCCTAGCCTAAACGGCGCCTCGCGCAAGGACGCGTCCCGGAATTCCTCATAGGACAGGGCCTCCTCTCCGGGCCTTGCTTTCAGGAAGCTCCGTCTGAGGGGTCTCAGAGGTTTAGGGGTTTAGGGGTCTGGGGTTTAGGGTTTAGGGCTTGGGGCTTAGGGCGTAGGGTTTAGGGTTTTGACTGGGGGGGTGTATTTGAAGTCTCCCCAATTAAGGGACAATATACAGGGACCATGTAGCTACCCCAAACAAACATCTGCCCCCCACGGCCACCACAGGGGTGTTTGGGGGCTTTTAGGGTTTCTAGGGACTTTAAGGATTTTGGGGTTTAGGGGATGTTCTAGAAGCCCTAAAGCCCTCAACCCTGATCCTTCATCACCGGGTATGAAGGGCTTTAATGGTCAGGGATGGTTTAGGGCTCAGGCTGTACGGTTTAAGGGTTTGGGGCGCCAGCTTGTCCAGCTTGAGGGGGGCTGAATTCAGATTTGGGGGTTCATTCCATGACCAGCCCTGGAAATGTAGGGCAACTTAAGAAACCAGCAAGGGTACTCACTCATAAGGGTACCATCTCCTGGGCATCCCAGCGAACTTTTGCACAGAGTTCAGCAGCAGTGGTAGGTGTTGGGCTCCCCAGTTTTGGGGGGCATAAACGGATCACACGACAAGGCCCCTTGGCTCTGTCTGCGGGGGTGGAGTTGGACAGCCTTTCCACGCCAGCACCTCGATGTGAGAGCATACTGCACAGGAGCCGAGGAGGTCAGGATCTGTACTATTCGCAACTCCGAGGGGCAGTAGCGTTGCATTGTCTGCAGCAAAGGCCAGGAAGATATCTGTGAGCATGCACCGGTGGCAGCCGAAGGTTGCGGTCCCGCCGAAGGCGGCCAGCAGCTGCTTCTGGGAAACCTTTTTCCCGACTTTTGACTCAATGAATAGAGGCCCAGGTAACTTGAGCGCCCGCTTGTAGGTGCTGATCTCCACCTCGAAGTAGTAGGAGGCGTTCCAGCCGGTGCAGCTGCCGTGCTTGCTCCACTCGTGCGTTGAGAGGCCGCCCCAGGCGTACCCCAGTGCGAAGGTCTGCCAGTCTGCCGTGGTGTTGTACTTCGCCAAGGCGTCGCGAGGTGGGCGGCAAAGCGGGTCCCTTTCGGAAGCCTCACACTTCTCAAAAGAGCCCACAGGCCCTTTGCAGAACTGGGGCCAGCTGAGATTGTGGTGCAGCGAAGGATCGTACTCGGGCCAAAGGCCATGAAGGCTTAGGTGTTCAGCCGCATAGGAGCTGCTGGACAGGTGCTTCAGGACCCTCTTGTCGCTGCCGCAATCGGGCAAGGAGCATGCCGGCTGCCACATCAGGCCCAAAATCCAGTTCTCGAAGCGGCCCGCAGGCGCACCCGTCTCCCCTCCATCCCCTGAGGGTGCTGGCGAAGGGGAAGGTGCGGGCCCCGGCTCTCCGCAGCCTTGCAAGGCACACGCCACTGCGCCCAGGAAGGCCGCGCACGCGGCTTGAGCGAGCGCTCTCATTGTAGCTCGGCGCCGGAGCCGCACCAGCAGGACGGCTCGCCGGGCTTCTTGAGTTCAAAGGTCGCACGAACAGATATTCTACACAATGATGTGAGGCTCCTCAAGTGCTGGGGCGCAGCTGTAGCCTCAAGCCCTTCAGCAGGGTTGTTAACCGACATCTGGGCATACGAACAGAGCCCACCCCGCCCAACCCCAACCCCCCAACAACAAAGGATTGTGAACCCTAAAGCTCCAAACGAAAACCCCAAAGCCCCACAACCCCCCCAACAGCCATACAACCCTACCTGTAACTCTCCCTACCTCCTAGATTGACATGGTATGTATAACCCATCAGCTAGGGTCCTTAAACCCTAAATCACTTAAGCCCCGACCCCCGAACCGAAAGGCCCTCTCTAGCGTGCGTAGAAAGGGCTCGGACGCCTTGGCTCCAGGACTTTCGCTTGCTGTTGCATCAGGCCACTGAAACCCCGAATAGCAGAGGCCCATGCCCAAACTCTTGTGTTATAGCGGGCCGCCGAACTCGATATGCGCACCCTTCCCTCCATGATCTCTTTCGCACCGGATGTCTCTGTGAAGTTTGGCCATAGTCATTGCAAGCAAAGTCTTTCTCACCAACTTTTCTAGCCAGTTTTTGGTGAGAAGATGATTGGACTCAATAACAGGACAGAGCACCCTCATCCACCCTAAACCCTTTCCTCCGCTCCATCCCATTCCCCTCCATCCCCCTCCATTCCCCTCCATCCCCCTCCAGCCCCCGCCCGCTCGCATTCGCACAACTTTTTCCTCGGGTGACAGATCCAGGTGATGCGTGCAGAAGCGCCGCAGCTGCTCAGGTGAGTGCGTTACCATGACCTCAGTCTCTGAAAGCTAAACCCCAAACCCCAAACCCTAAACCCTAAACCCTAAACCCTAAACCCTAAACCCTGAACCCTGAACCCTGAACCCTGAACCCTGAACCCTAAACCCTAAACCCTAAACCCTAACCAACAGACAGCGGGAAATACGGAAAGAACAAACCGACCCAACCCTAAACCCGAAACCCCAAGCCCGAAACCACAAGGATTTAGGGCTTCGTAGTGTGTTCCTAGAAGCCATTGGGGCGGGGGGGCGGGGGGGGCGGGGCACTGGGCAACGTGCTCGGAGAGGCCTCCCTGTGATATGAACCAGGGCGTGTAGTTATTACTTAGTCTCCCCCAAAGGCCACCCCCCCATATATGGACACAGATAGATAGATAGATAGATATACATACATACATACATACATACATACATACATACATACATACATACATACATACATACATAAAAGCACCCTAAACCCTAAGCCCTAAGCCCTAACCTAAGCCCTAAAACCCAAACCCTAGCTTGTATCTGAAGTACCTCTAAGAAACTTCAGCCTCACCTGGCTCAACGCGAGGAGATCTTTCTTGAATGATTTCAGGGTTTAGGGCTTAGGACTTGGGGTGTAGGGTTTAGGGTTTCGCGACTGGGTTGTGCGGTCCACTACGCAGCCTATTTCTTTGGCTTCAAGTGAGCTCAAGACATCTTCGGTGGAACGACTTAGGGGCCTTACGAACGGGAGCAAACCAGGGTCCCAAGAGTAGGAAGTTAACAATTGGACTATCCTTCTCCTCCCCCTTGCTGCGTCAGGGTGCGATGGGAACCTGGCTCGCTGCCAGCGTTGCCTGACTGCACAATCCTAAAACCTAAGCCCTAAGCCCTAAACTCTGAACCCTAAACCCTGAACTCTAAGCCCTAAACCCTAGACCCCAAACGTCTGCGGGACACCTCGACCGTCGGGGCTGGATGGTCAGCAACTACAATCGGCTTCCGGAACCTAACAAACGGGGCATTCTCCTAAATCTTGGGGAGTTAGATGGTCCCTTAGTCTGGGCCCTGAAAAGGGGACTCCTTACCTACCCCTTCTACACCCTCTCCAACCCAAAAACCCCTACAACAGAGCCCTTAAAGAGGGCAAGGGACCTTATTAAAGGCCCACGAAACTACCCTTAGACTCCTTAGGACCTACATTCCATGACGATGAGGGCGGGGCGACCTGGGCTTCCGCCCAGGACATCTGAAGGTTACGCACATTGGGGGGGGGGGGGGGATGGGGACATTTTTGTCTGGACATTGGGGGGTTTAGGGTTTAGGGTTTAGGGTTTCGGGTTTAGGGTTTAGGGTTTAGGGTTTAGGGTTTAGGGTTTAGGGTTTAGGGTTTAGGGTTTAGGGTTTAGGGTTTAGGGGACATTGGGGGTTTACGAAAATAAGCGGACCTTAATATAGACCCCCACAGAGTAGGCTTTCTAATTAAGCACCCCAATAAGGCACGACTCATTTTCGGAAACCCCGACATGATGTAAGAGGACGCAACAGAGAGACTGGAACAACCCCCACATCCCTCGCGAGGCCACCCACCTCATGGCAAGGCTTCACATTAGACCCACCTGTACTGGAGCGACAAGAGAAGGGGGCTCAGAACAAACCCCCCGGCAGTATAGCAATCACCATACTGTCATGGGAACTTACTGGACTTCCTGTTTTCTTTGGAGCCCTCCCAGTTCCTAGACTCCCTTGACGCCCACGGACTGCTCCGGTCCCTCTCATTTGCTTTTGCTTTCTGAGGTGGCAACCCGGTACTTCACGTAGTATAGACCCCCAAAATCATAAAACTTCCTGAAAGACAAGGACCCCAATAAGGCACCCCCCCTCATATCGGAAACACCCATAAGTGGCCTCAACCAGCTTCTGCGTGGCCACGTCCAGGCCCGAGATTGCCTCGTCGAGGAGCAGCACCTGCACAAGACACGGGATCTCCGGAAATTCAACATGGCTATTTCCCGAAGTGGGGTTTCCGAAAATGGGGGGTACCCTTTTTGGGGGTATTCCCTTCTGTTTGGGGTATAAGAGGGGTACCCCTATTGGATGTCTCATGTAAGCCCCCAGCAAAAAAAAGTCCGTCGCAAACTTCCCGATTCTCAACCAAGACCTTGCTGGGTTCTGAAAAACCCCCTAAACCCCCAAAGCCCTAAACCCAAACCCCAAATTGTAAACCCTGAACCCTAAACCCCAAACCCTGCTCCGATCAAGGTTCGCTCAGTCACTGTCCTCTTGGCCCCGAGGGGCCCCCGCGCCTGAGGCTGCGTTGCCAAGGCCAAGGCGAGAGCGGCCCGCTGCGCCTTCAGGGATGTTTTGGGGATTTTGAGGCTTTGGGGGGTTTAGGGGTTTTCGGGGTTGAGGGTTTTAGGGCTATTTTGGGAGTGGCTTTAGGGGTTTTAGGGGTTTTAGGGTGCTTAGGGTTTAGGGTGCTTGGGGTTCAGGTTTAGGGTTTAGGGTTTAGGGTTCGAGGGTGCTTAGGGTTTAGGGTTTTAAGGGGCCCCCATCATGGCATCGCCTCACCGCCGGAGAGCTCGGACCAGGGCCGGTCGAAGGCGCCTGGACAACCGAAGCAGCAGCATGCCGCCAAGGAAGTTCAACTAAGGGCTTTTGGGGTCTGGGGGTTTGGATTTTAGGGACCTGGGGTTAAAGAAGTTCAACTAAGGGTTTTGGGGGGCCTGCGATCTAGGGTTTAGGGCTTGTGTGTCGGCAGTCCTCCCCTAATCCGAGTTTGAAAACCCTGGAAACCCTACAAACCCCTTAAAGCGCCAAAAACTCGAAACACTAAAAACTCAAAAAACCTAAACGCCCGAAAAACCCTCAACCCTAAACAGTTCCCCCAAAACCCTCAACCTCAAAAACCCTAAACACCCTAAAAGCCCTAAACCCTTTACCCAACATCAGTTCTCCCAAACCCTAAACCCCAACAACCCTAAACATTTCGAAGCCCCGATCAGTTGCCCCAAACCCTGAACCCCCAAAACCCTAAACCCTAAACCTTAAACACCCCCATCAATCCCCCCACAAGTCCTAAACCCTAGACCCTCAACCCTAAAGCCCTAAAGCCCTAAAGCCCTAAAGCCCTCAGGCCCTAAAGCCCTCAAGCCAAAAAGCCCTAAAGCCCTCAAGCCCTAAAGCCCTAAAGCCCTAATTAAAGCCCCAATTCCCTAAACCCCAAAAGGCTGGGGCACTCGAATCTAGCCGCCAGGTGGCAGCGAACGCGCGCCTCGGCACACCACACGGCACCACAGGGTGTTTTGGCAACTTGGGCGTGGGGGTTTTATAAGGGTTTAGGGTTTAGGGTTTAGGGTTTAGGGTTTCACCTAGCGGCGTTTTAGGGCTTTTGAGGGTGTTTTTAGGGACTGTAGAGTTTTCAGGGCTTTAGAGGGCTTACTAGGGTTCATAGGGTGTTAGTGTACATAGGGCTTAAAGGGCTTATAGGGTTTGCAGTGGATATAGGGCTTTTAGGGTTTATAGGGTTAAGAAGGTTTATAGGGTAGGGGTGTATAGGGTTTATAGTTTATAGGGTTCATAGGGTTTATAGGGTTCATATGGTTTTGTAGGGTTTATAGGGTTTATAGGGGTTTATAGGGGTTATAGGGTTTATAGGGTTTATCGGGTTTATAGGGGTTATAGGCTAGGGTGTAGGGCTTAGGGAAAGCACAACAACCTGAACCCTACACCTAGACCGCCCAACCCCGCGCCCTAAACCTACAAAGCCGGACCCAGCGAACCCTTAAGCACCGAAACCCCCAAAACTCCCAAACCCTAAGCCCTAAACCCCAAACCCCAGATCCCAAATCCCTTTAAGCCCTAAACCCTAAACCCTCGCAAAAAAAAAAAAAAGGAAAGGAAGAAGCAAACCCGCCCAAGAAGCCAACACAAAGAAAGCCCTAAACCCTAAACCCTAAACCCTAAACCCTAAACCCTAAACCCTAAACCCTAAACCCTAGAAAGCCCAAGGCGCGCATCCGACAGGGGCGCGCAGGTGGACGCTTGGCTCCGGTAGGTGCCCAGCTCCTGCAAGGTGGGGGCTATTTGAGGAAGGTTTTGTGGGGGTTTAGGGTTTAGGGTTTAGGGTTTAGGGTTTGGGGTTTAGGGTTTGGGGTTTGGGGTTTGGGGTT